CCGCCAATGCTTCACACTGTACTATGACCACCAGCATTTGAGAAGTATCATCGTATTAAAATTTTTGGCGTTCTTTTTTTCAGGATCAGCCTTTATCTCGATATGTAACAGCTTATTGCGTAGCTGTTTCATCTGCCTGTTCTATTGCTGCAGGTAATATTTTTTTTTTTTGAAGGATTCTGAAAAATAATTTTTGAACGTGCTAAACTTGTATACGACTTAATGGACCGAAACATTTCTTACCTACTTTAATAATTCTTTACAACCCTTCCATCTTTTTGTTCATATTTTCCCCCTAAACCTAAACTTCTCTAGAATTAGTTATTGCGCTCCTGAAACAACGATGATTTTGATTTTTTAACAGTAATGATGATAATAATGGATTGTGCAGAAGGCGAATTTTTCACTTGATTTGACCGATGCTGCTTGGACTGTTGTTCGGCCTGTCGGATTTCGTTAACTTTCTTTAGTTTCCTGAAGGGATTACCAACTCAGCGTTTTTTTTTTTTTCGCGAAAAATGAGTATCTATAGCAACATTAATTTATAATTGCGTTTTTCTGATAGCGAGGATAAGACGAATGTTGAGAATCGAACGCTGCTAATGATGAGGCCTGATAGCGATAGCGATTACGATTACGAGTCAAAAATGCACTAAAATAGCGTTTCTGCCCGATATCCTGACAACAGCTGTCGTTTCGCAGCAGTGCTCTTTTTTATCGATGAGGTAATTGGCGAAATTTTTATGCGTTTTGTGTTGTATAAAAGCATTACAAAAAGCATATTGTCACGGGGTTGTCTGTGTGTGTCCCACATTTTGTCCCGCACTTTTAAGTCGGGAACCACAAAAGCTAGGCGGCTGAAATTTTGGTATAGCGTTCCACGCCAGTGGATGACGCGGCAAATTTAAATTCAGCCCTTCCGTGCCCGAGGGTAACAGGTACGGGTAAATTAGTGTCTCAGGAAACATGGGGTCCAGGAAACTGAAATTTTAGAGTAATAACCCCTGCCCACGCTCACCTTGCCTATTCAAATTCAGCGTTCTCTCGCTCTTGAGTATCACCTACGGCCTCGTGAGGATTTTGGCGGGTGAACTATTAACTCGGGAATCACGAAAGATATCCACCCTTCAAGGTTTCAAATTCAGCTTTCATGCGCTGATGCGTGAAATTTTTATCTATTTTCCAATTTTTGAACTATTTTTGCATAGACAAAAGTACAAAGCAGTGAAAATCATTAATCGGCAATCGTTCGATAGACTGAATTGCACACAGCGCATGATCGCACAGGTTAGTCTGGTGCGCGTTGCTATTTATTCATAACTGTGACAAAAAATTGGGGTACCCAAGAATAAAGGAAGGCAGTTCACAGCTTCAATAATTCTTTCAGGACTTACATATCTGATCAAAAGAGCAAATCATCTGGATCCGATGAAACGAATGATTATCCAACGCTTTGTTCCATTACCTGCTACATCGCTGGCAAGCGGCCTCAATGTGCTATGCATGCGATGGAATGAAATAGGCAGCGGAATCGATGTTTATGACAGCAACCGGAGGGTGGTCGGTACATCCAAGATTGCTGCTACCCGGGTAAATTTGCTTTACAACCACACGAAAGTTTGGGCATGCTGACGTGTAGATGTTGCTGGCAATTTTAGATCAAAAGTTGAGGTAGATGCTAGAGCTTAAGGGGGAAAATTACGGAGGGAAGTTCTGAAGAATTGCAAAATGGCCAGTTTGCATGGTGTTAAGTAGAAGCTGTTCACGAGGATTATCACATACCGACTAATAAGGCTGTCCGATGAGCAGCACTTGAAGGAGCAAGTTGGATTTCGAAGTAATTATAGTTCAGTGAACCAAATTTCACCCAAAACCAGCAGCTAGAATGTGCAAGAGATTACAAGCCTTCTTTTTATCCCCTAACTGTCGATTAAGGAATAAGTATTCGAGAGCCTAAAGATGAATACTGTGCCACGAGATGTAAGGATTAACGAAAATATGCGGAAATTATTAAGGAAGCGAACATAGGGAGTTTTGCATACACAGTACTTTCTTCCATTCCATTTCGTACACCGACCGAGAGGGAAATGAGGTAGTGCGGTACCATGTACATAGAGTTTTTCACATTTTGCTTAGACTGCATCTTAGACATACCAAAAGTTTCAAGCCGAAAGTATGACGAGTCAGATGAGTCAGGCACACTAACCTTTCAATTTTCAGGCAGTGAAAGATACAACACTGACACGTGCATTCTTACCAATACCGTTATTAATAATACCACCATGTGTAATGCCATTTCTGGAAAGGTGAGAATGAAATTGCAAGGCTTTTTCTTCAAAAATAAGAAAAGAAAATAAAAAAAGAAACAAAATTGGGCTAAAAATTTAAAATTCTGCTTATTATTCCTTTAGCTCAAAATTTAAATTGAATAAAGAGAAAGGCAAAAACATTTTATGCCTTAAAGAAGTAAATAAATGGAACTAAAAATGATAAATTCTGAACTAAGCTACAGCTCAGTGCTGTTAGAATGATATTTTCGAATAAGCTAAGTACAAATTTTGAAAAATAAAAGTTTTTTCTCTCTACGCCCCGAAGAGATACTTGGAAATAGCTCGAGTGTAATTACATGCCAATGCAGAAAATACAGAATACATTTGTTATACAGAAGTTGTCCAATCAGCGATTCATAGAGGATCCCTACGTTGTACATACTTCGTTCGAAGTATACACGAGCGTCCCTTTCTTTTTCTCATTAAGCATTGCGACCGTCATACTGATGAGGTCCAGTCGCAGAGTTGAGTTAAGGCGTATATGACTTAATGGGCCGAAGCATTTTATCTCGCTCTTGCCTTCTCTCTTATACTACTTTTTCGTTCTGAATTCCATCGTACATGCGCCACTTGTGCTTACACAGTCAACCTGGATGCTGCAGTCTGCTTTTGAATAATCTGTTTATTATATGTACATACATGGAGAAAATATGAAGTGCTATTCTGTATGATATCCGAGTGATTTTCTATAAATTTAGTCCCTAACACGTGTAGGTGGGTCCAGAGCGGTTCAGAATTTCTCCTAACAGAAGTTCTTGGCAAGTCTTTAATCGTTTCGAGATGTTCTTGGTGTGTCGATCGTCGCCTCGTCTAGGTCGCTTCGAGGTTTAAGACGTATTTGCAACTGTAACGTCTGCGGGAAGGCGGGGGGTGGGGAGTTTCACCTTCCCTTCTCCCTTCGCCACTACCCCCCC